TGCATAATTCATAAGCAAAGAAGTCTTGAACCTTAGGGGTTTAAGCAAGAAGTCTCGGACCTAGGGGTTTAAGCAAGGAAGTCTTGAACCTTAGGGGTTTAAGCAGGAAGTCTCAGACCTAGGGTTTGAGCTGTGTAAAAGACTTATGCATAATTCATAAACGATTATAATCATGATTTGGTTATAGTGAAAATCTCTTGTGAAGCAAAGGGATTGGTCTACTCTCAGTTAGAAAGAAACAAGTATAAATCTTTGTGTCTTCTGTTTTTTTTATTTGCTTCTGCTAACACCGCTGCTAAGTATAATTAGAATCTGAACACCAGTTCAGATTCTGAACTCTGATCAGACGCAGATTTAAAATAAATCGAAAACACAATTCAACTCCCTCTCACCTTCTTGTGTACTTTTATCACCTTCACATTGTAATAGTGTAGGATCTACTTCTTTACCTGATTCCTTTGCATGTTAACTGACAAGATAAAACCAAACGATGAGAAACACTTTTCAAGAGAATAAAACATACTTGATGCAACGTTAAGTTCTTTTCCAAATCAAATTCAATCAAAAGCAACGCGAGTGATTGATCCAACATCAAGCATCTCATCCACTCCTATTCTTACAAGTCTCACCCTTTCATTTCATTTCACCTTTCAAAATTCAAACTCCAAATACTTGACCCAGTAAATCATTTTGCAAACAAACTCAAAAACACTTTAAAATACGATTAGGATTGTACCTAACGAGCCTTAAGTAGTAGAGAAGGAATGAGAGTGAAGTTTTCCTACCCTCATTCTAAATATTTTGAACACAAGATGTTTGGCTCAGTCATTTGAGATATTCACCTCCACTTGTAGACTTTAGTGCAAATCAAAACAATCTTCTTTTCAAAACCTAAAATCAACAATAAGCTCCTTCTTGGACCAAACATTCCTCTTTGGATACTGGTTTCTGAACCAAATCTCTACTTCTTAGGATTAATCACGACTTATTGGTTAACAAACCCTACAACCTCTTTCCTTGGTTAATCATTAATTCTCGGTTAAAATACCATCTTCTTCTGTTTTACGGTTAACCACTGTTGTTTAAAATACTCGTTCCATAGTTAATCACTGATTCTCTGTTAAAATACCAACCTCCACCAACCATACTCTATTTGGGTTAATCATCACTTATTGGTCAACAAACCTTACAAATCTTTTATTTTGGTTAATCACTAATCCTTGTTAAAAAGACCAATTTTTTCCTTTTGGGTTAATCACCACTTCTTGGTTAACAAACCCTACAACTCCTTTCTTTTGGTTAATCACTGATTCTTGGTTAAAACACCATTTCTCTTATCTCTTTTAAAATTTACTTCTTCTTTGGTTTTAACACCACTCCTATCACTCTTATTCCTTTTCTTGGTTATAACACCAAACCCCTTTTTCATCCTTAGTTCCACGAACTACGGAGCTCTGACTTCCTCATTGCACTATGAGGATATGTAGGCACAAGATTGCAAGATCTTGGCGAGAAACCTTCCTTCATTTTCCCCTTGTTCCAAGAACTACGGAACTCTGACTTCCTCATTGCACTATGAGGATACGTAGGCACAAGATTGCAAGACCTTGACGAGCAACCTTCCTTTATTTTCCCCTAGTTCTTTGAACTACAGAGCTCTAGTTTTCTCATTGCACTGTGAGGATACGTAGGCACGAGGCCCCCAATCCTCTGCGAGCACCCTAATTTTAAATCTTTTTTCTCTTTCACAAGTAACCTTTGAATAGTAACACCCATCCATGCAAAGAACAAGCAAAATAGTTCCCGTCGAGTACGACGGATGCGAGCGATGTTAATACCTTCCCTTCGCATAACCAACTATCTTACCCGTTTTTCTTTCCCTTGGGTTTTATCGATATTTTCCCTTTCCTTCTAGAATAAATAAAGTTCGGAGGCGACTCTATTGTATCATTGAGTGTGCGATGCGCTCGGGTATTTGTCGTACCGCAAAAAATATCAACCAAACATTACATATAAAACATGTGTCATCGTCTAAATACATTGTTAGGTAAAAAAACTAAAATGAATCAAAACATGTGTCACCACCTAAATTGACATCTATGGGTGGTTTCGTCTTTGACTTTTATTTATTTGATTCTCTTTCAATCTCGCTCAACTTGGTGAATTCTTGTATCCTATCCAAAAATGATTCGGCCAAGTTTTAGTTTTCTTTGTTGAATGAGTTAAGGTGGTTTAGAGGATTTTTTTATCCTTCCTATTTTGAACATGTAGGCATACTTTGAAAATGCTTTTATGAGATTTTGAAGTTGGAGAATCCGGAAACAGTGTGTTACCATGTTTAAAATAGGAAGAAGACTGCATCGTTGAGTTGTAACTCAGTGTTGGTTTGACCTTCTTAGGACCATCTTTTATTTTTATTGATTGCAACGGTGGTTTCAAATCTATGGTTTCTGGATATGCAATCTTCCTCGGTTGCTCTTTGATGTAGAATTTCATATTGTCATCCTGCTTTCAAAAATATCTCTTGAATCAGTTCCCGTTCGGTCAAGATAGATATATTTGATTTATCATCTTTCATCACATCATCAAAGCAAAGCCTTTTCCAATGGGTGTAAACCTCATCCATTCATATTGGGGTATTAAGTTTCCCTTTCTTTGAAATCAAACAAGCACATGGAAGATCATATGTCTTCGTGATTATACAAACACACTTTAAGATATTTGAACCTACTTTCTTAGCTCGTTTGGCTTCGTGAAAAATAAAATTCAGTCGTGCTCGAGATATATTGCCCACCAATTGTGAATAGAGATTGTTTTCTCTAAATCTTAGTTCCAACATTGTAATGTTGCGGCCAAATGACGCATGTATCTCGTTATGCAGATTTTGGATCATTTTGTACACAGAGTCTTAACCTCTACACAAATCATCTTTACTATTTCCCAACCAATTCTTTAGTGCAACATGGGCATATTTAACTCAATTAGTTATTGTATTTCTAAAGTGTATAACATGATCAGTCCAAGCACAAACAGTCTTCTATTTTACATGGTATAAATTTGTACTTTCAATATATTTCAAGAAATTCAGATATTTCTCACACACCTTCTTGAAAAGTATAACAGAATCGACATATAACACTTTCGTAGAAGAATTTATATAATATTTCAAGCATCCATTATTCTTTCCCGTATCACACTACCTTTGACCATTTTCCCATCTCCATCCTTTATTTGTTTGGTCCATGCTAGAGGCTTAAGTCTACTCCTTAAGTTCTTTGTGATGTGATACCTACAAAGTAATGCATATGATGCTGCAAATATTGTTGCAACCAAATTCATCAATGTAGCATCAAGATCGATGACAATGACCTTCGATGTGTTTTCTTAGTCCTTCAACATTGTCCAACATATTTTAAAAGTCCAGGTAGCTTTGTCCTCTTTTCACTTTCCAAAAATGCAAATCCAACAAAAAAAATTATATAAGTAACACCAACAATTTCCAATAGTAGAAGATTGTACATATTTTTCTTATATGTTGAATCAATAATGAGTATAATGGGAAATGTGTTTAACAACTTCATGGAATCAGGAAGAGTCCAAAATATATCTCGAACAGTTTCTCCACCCTCGTACATTCGGTGCCTAGATACATAACTGTTATCATCCAGAAGCTTCAACAAATGTTCCATTTCAATTATATCCCCTCTTATCACCTTGTTGTTTCAGGCAGAAATATTATTTACTTTTTTAATATTCGATATCTTTTAAGATCTTTTTCGTTTCAAAGTTGCAAGTATACTTTTCGACTGCACCATGTTCAATGTCATGTCAAAAACAATTTCTTTCTCTTTGGCCATAAGGATACATGCAGTGGAATGAACGGCTAACTTGCGACACATATCATGATTATGTGTACCACAAATCTCATTAATATCCATTTATTATTTTTCAAAAGGTATTCACAAAACTTAAAGAGACAATCACATTTTCTCGAATCAGTGTCATCTCGTTTCAACTTCCGGATAGAAATTGTGTACTTGTCACTTCTTTCGCATGTTAGTCTCACAAATGCAAGCCTTTTATCTAAACTATTATCTGACCTTCTGATTACAACATCGAACCCCAATTTGGTAGCCTGCGTATGAATCCATTGAAGCATATGATCTCCTACAACAAACTCTTGTTCATTTGTAAATTAGTTGCCAACATCTACCTTGACATCAACTGGTGTGACATCCAGACACAATAGGCTTCGGGAAAACATTAGGATGCACCATATCTAAGGTCAATCATAACAGAAAATATTCAAAAACTGTTTAAATTTAACTTTGAATGAATTCGGAAATGCTTTTTCAAATGACATTCAACCGGAATTCGGAAATGCATTTTTGGACACAATGTTTGTCTTTTTAGAGCAAAAATCAAATTAATATACGTAATGAGGAAGGAAATACATGTACATTACCTCAAATTCTAGTTTATTTTTCTCCTTTTGATGTGAAAAAATAGATCAATAATATTTTGAAGTAGAAAAGTTGATTGAGTGTAGAAGGAGATTTTGATAGGGTTTTGAACAAAAATGGTGTTTTTAATAAGAGTAAAGTTAATATGCAAGGCGATGTTTTATTAAATTTTTCACTTGACATTGCTGTAAATGCATTTTTGACATTATCACTGACATGCAAATGTGACATTTTTTCAAAATTTTGCTTGACAAATCCGGAAGTACTGAGTTGTTAAATGAACAAAATTATTGAACGGGTCCACTCCGACTCGATTACTATCATACTGAGCATACGAGATTAGAGTATAAAATTATACAAAAAAAAGTATATATTCCATTCCATAAATCCATGGCAAGTCAAATTTCTTTACATCTTAGACAAGAAAAATAATCATAGCTCTATAATGCCTTGACACTGAAGATAAATTATATGCAAATGACAAGCTTTTATAAAGATCTAACATCAGTGAGAAATTAAGGAAAGAAATAAACCAAACTACTTTCCAAACAGTTTCCTGCGCCGAACCGACGACTTGACTCGCAAACCAGCAGCTTCACCAATCACAATATCATTCACCAAATCCTTGAATATCAATCTCTCAACATCCAACACAACTCCAGGTATTTCACCATTGAAATTTTCCCAACATTCTGATCCATGAATCACATCTTCACACAGCAAACTCTTTAGACCGTCGTCCTCTTCGTCGTCTTCTAGGCAGGTTTCAGTTTTCTTGGCTTGGACTTTTTCTATCTCGAAGCATAGTTCTTTGAGAAGCTTTTGAGAACTAAGGTTTTTCTTTGTGAGTTTGTTGGGTTGAAACCATGGTTCGGAAGAATAGCCTAGTTTTGCACCGAGGATTTCGTTTACGGAGTCAAAGATGAGTTTTCGGTGAAATTTCTCAGCGTTTTGCTTTGAGAAAGCGGATTTTTCTAAGGTGGTGGTTTCTTCTTTTGAAAGCAAACTACTTGCTTTGGTTTGTTCCAAGACAAGGAATAACTCCGGGTTAATAGGATGACCCGATGAGTGTAGTTGAAATGTCAGGAATTCAGTACTCAGGTCTCTGAGTAAGAGACCTGAGGCTAGTAGTATTTCAGATATGTATCGGTGGTCAGGATTTGAGTTTTCGCATAGTGAAGCAATGTAATCGTTTCTAGCTTCGTCATGGCTTGAGTTTAGCCGTCTAAGCTTCTGAACGAGGTGATCGATGCTTTGCAATTTCTTGCGATTGATCTCTCCGGATCCTGTGCTGTTAAATGAAAGGCCATCATCGGGCTTCCATTGATCTTTGACATCATTGTCTTTGGATTCTTGATCATTACCAGCTGCAAAATTTGATGTTATAATTAGATAAGTAAAATACAAAAATTCTAGATTATTTTATTAGCTTATTTCCTAAAGTTCCTCAAGATAGCTTATGCACTTGTAAGAATGTATGAGATCTAGAAACAGCTTATAAAATGTCCATAGGTGGTTTTTAGCTTATTTTTGTAAGTTCTTCGTGATAGCTTATAGCTTATGAAAGCAGCTTATAGCTTCTATGAAAACAGTTTGACCTTGTTTTATCTTTTGTCTGAGAAATGGCTTAAATATAAGACCTAATACGATAAGGGTATGTTATAAGTGCTTAATTAAATTGTTTGTCCAAACAACGACTATGTCATACGATGTTGCTGAAGTGATTGTGTGAAACAAGAATATGACATTGTTTAGATTGCCTTATTTCAACTTATCTACCTGCATAAGTACTCGTGAGACTATGAGATAGCTTGTAGAAACAGCTTATGAAATGTTCATAAGTGGGTTTTAGCTAATTTTCTTAAGTTCTTCAAGATAGCTTATGAAAGCAGCTTATATGAAAACAGTTTGACTTTGCTTTATATTTTGTTATAGAAATGACTTAATTGTAACCCTTCATAAGGGTATGCTATAACTATAAGTGCTTAATTAACTTGATTATCCAAACAAGTCCTTCGTCATTCAATGTTATTGGACCTAATATGAAAAGATAATATGGATATTATCTTTCTATTCTTAAAAAGAAAGAAGAAACTACCTTTTGGATCTTTAGATATCTGCATTACTGGCGATGCAGCATCGTCTGTGTACACAGATCCATCGAGAACCGAGATAGGACTTGGATGTTCCAGGGACTTTGTTGCAAGTTCCTGAATTGTATCATCTTCATCCAACATTGGAGTTGATTTCTACAACATTAGGTAAAAATAGCTTAAATTAAAAACTTCATCATATTGTTAATATAGTAAGAAAAGTTTGATTTAAAAGCAATAAATGGCTCTTACTTTCTGAACTGTTTCTGAAACCAATTGCTTCATAGCTTTCAAGGACGGACTTTGGCTGACATCGGTTACGTTAGTCCGTAAACTACTAGTGACTTCAATATCCACTTTTGAGTTGACGGTGATGCCGTCTGATGGAAGAGAAATTTCATCTCCTTGGTAAAAATTTCGAGAATCATTGCTTATTTCACTCATTTGCTCTTCACTATGCTGTGAGTTGACGACTTTGTCTTTGTGTCGTACTTTTCCACCCGGGGAAACCGATTCCGGTGCCTTTTTACCAGATTGTCTTCTTGATTTGTTTGGATCTGATGGTGAAGTAGGTATACGAGATCGCTTCTCTAACTCCAACTTCTTCTGTTGCAATCTCGGACTCACGGAACCTGAATTCTTCACTGGACTTTGGTTACTTTCTTTTGGGAATTTTTGAGACCTTGATTGAGAATGTGATAATCCAGTAGTCTTGGTAATACTTGTTTTCTTTTCGGTGGAACTCGGAGAAGCATCCCTGCGAATATTCTTCGGAGACTGATCTTTTAGAGGAGAAGATATGTTGTTTCTATTATGGGAAGCAGAAAAACCACCGATTGGAATAGCTGAAGAAGCCGAGATCTCGGATTTTTCAACAAGTTTTGCCGGTTTCATTATCACTATTGGAGAATCAAAAGCTCTTGCTGAGTCACCTCCCTTGATTGTAGATGACAGAAAATTGTTTCTCTGATGATTTTGTTGCTTTCCCGACCTTGAATTGTGATTTAGATTTGTAGGTTTCGGTTCATAGTCACCTCGACTTCCACCTGCGTTTGGAACCTGGTCGTCTTTTCGGCTCTCTAACAGCCCCTTTTCTTGCATTGCTTCTAGTATCTGCTTTAGTGCTCTAAGATCTCTTCCAGATTGTTTGAATTCAAGGTCCTTCAATCTCTTCTCTATCTCACTATAAACCGAAGGAAATGATTCCGGTGTTCTTGCTTGAGCTTTCGTTGTCCTTAAACTTGGTTTCTGAGAATTTCTATTTGCGTCATGTTGCTTCCAAGGTGCTGGTTCAATCGGAAACTTTGAACTAGAAACTGGTCTCATAACCACGTCAGGATTTTTCCGCCTTGGCGAAATCGGATCTTTTGATGACATTTTTGGCGAGTTGGAAACTCGAAGCGGTTTTATGAATCCATTTTTCGATAATCTTGGAATCTGACCGTTACCTTGAACTGAGTAAGTTTCAGTTGAACCTGATTGGGTTTCGCCGACTGAAGACGAATCAGGTAATGCTTCCAAGCCCATTAGTTTTGCAACAACACTTGGTAGCCGATTTTGTGTTGATGAAGACTGTGGCGGACTAGAGAATTTTTCATTGGAGGTGGAGGTGGCGCCGTAAACGTTTCTCGAGCCATGGTTAGGCTTCGAATCAGAGTTATAAGTGCGCCACGAACCTTCCTTACTATCGAGTGAATGCCTAGGAAATTCTTTTAGCTTTGGCGTGGATTTGATCGTCTCCCGCGATTCAAAAGACAAACGACTCATTTCTCTTCCATCATAAGCTAACCAAGGAGCATCCTTGGAGACGGAATTCCAGTGTCCATCTTTTACTTCATGCAACGATCTTGGAAGTTCTCTAGTAGTATCTCCATAGTGCCAAGGTGCTTCTCGAAGCTTCGAAAGGACACGAATAGACTCCTTTAGATCAATAGGCAAAATTTGCTTCTCGTCTATTTCAACACCATAAGATCTATCAACATATTTCGACTGATGAAGAGGTCGTGGTGAATCCCTATGCTTCATGGCATGAACAGAAGATTGCTCTTTGGATGTAGATTTTGAAGATAGCGCTCGAGGATCCCTATACATTGAATCCTTCACAACATCACGTAGATCAAGTGAATGACGTCCAAAACGGGGAGAGATAGACGGTTGGTTCATAAATGTTTCCCGTGAAGGAATTTCAAATGAAGTCTCAACTTCAGCCTTAAAGTCCAAAGAAGACAACGATGATGAACAAGACGAGAATGATGCTCTTGATGATTCCGTCGAAACTCTTTGCTTTTCATTGACACCCCGGTTTAAGCTCGTATCCTACAATGAATTAACTATACTTCATAAGCCAAACTTCAACAATCGAAAAACAGAAACAAAATTCAGATGATTGATTTTGTCGAATCATCTTGTCCCCAATTTAAAAAACCTTATTCAATCATTTTGTCAAAAAAAACTACGTATCACCGACACTTCACATTATAGGAGTATCAAAAGTCCAACACACGTCGGTGTTTCATGACACCGACACATGTTCATTTTTTCAAATAATTTCCAATGTAGGTCCAGTGTCTGTGTCAGTGTTTCATACGTATAAAACAAGGGTAAAAACAAGGTTCTTACATTTGCTATTTGTCGATGTTGTAGACTATGATTGCTATCAGAATCTCTTTCCATGCTTCCATCACTGAAATGCAAATTACCTACGAAAAACACACACATTTTAAAGTCAAATAATCTAATAAAACCGAAGCATATCACCAGAGCCTAAAGTAATGTAAATCACACGAACCAACAATTTCATGGAGAATAATCAGAATATCATCATACACAACATAACAAAATTCCAAATGAATTTACAGTAACAAAAACATTAAAATCACAACATTTTATCAAGTTTACTTATATGCTAACTCTTCGAAATTCCTATGTATAAACAAATGCAATAAACAATTAACACTAATATGAGACTAACACCTTCAATTAGTAAAATTAACAAAACATATGATAAACAACATGTTACTAATTAAGGAAATACCAGAAGCAAGTCTCTTCTGGCGAGCCGTGAGTATCTGATGCCGTTCGAAAAGTTGAAAAATTCCAGTCATACAACCAATCTGCTTCTGCAGATCTTGATTATCATCAGCTAAAGAATGCAGCAACTTTGCAGCCATGTCAAGTCAACCCTTTAATTTCTCCTCACAAATATACTCAACCACCACAATCAACTACTACACCTTAAACAACACCCTCTTGATGAAAAAACTTTTTTGATCTAAATTACTCTCAAAAAGTCAAATCTAGTCACACAAAACTGCAATTTCCAAACCCCTTCTGAGTAAACACTGTGATTCTTTTACTACTGATAATGGAACAGTTATGAAGAAACACATAGAGAAAAATGCTTCAACAAATTCTTGAAGCACTTAAAATCACTTAAAGAAAAAATACCCTTTACATGAAGCAAACTCCATCAAACTCAACACAGATTTGGGTTGTCAAAAACACATCAAAGATTAAAACTTTACAATGTTTTAAGCCTTTGTACAAAATCTTCCATTTCAAAGGGATAAACCCAAAAAGCTTAATGAAATGGTTTGAGAGAAGAAGAAAAAAACCTTGTAGGTTTCAGAAAAGAAACCAGACAATAGGTAGTGCGAAAATGGTAGAGATAATACAAATAAGGAAGGGAGGGGAAAGAAACAAGGGTTGAAGAAAAAACCAAAAGTGAAACCAATGTTGATGTAAAGAACAAAACTACAAGAAAGATATCTTAATGGAAGCTAAGGAAGGGAAAAGAAAGGGTCAATTTTTATTTTATTTTTTTTGGTGGGGAGTGTCATAAAATTGTGCGAAACAATCTGGTTAGAGCTGTCAGAAAGATTTACTACTATTTTTTTTATAGTTTTTTTTTTTACTTTAACTCAATATTTTTTATTTAAGCCATATAATATTTTTTTATTTAATTTAATGAATTAAATTTCATTTTTTTTAAGTAATACAATGATGGAGTGGGGTTGAAATCATTTAATGTTAGAATTAATCTGCGAATCGAATTAGTCGATTTAATAGACCCGTAAAAATAAATAATTTCATTTTTTTAAAGTAATCTCGTGAACTAGATTTATTTTTTAAAATAAAATATCGCAAATTTAAATCTCATCTTACATTTAATATCTTTATACTATTATCAATTTAGTCGATTTAACAAAATATTTTTCATTTTTTACTTAATATTAAATAAATAAATGAAATGTCATTCCTATATGAAACTCTAGATGCATTTTTAAAAAAATAATTAATCATAATTATTTTAAGAATTTTTTAAATAATTATAACTAAAGTATTAGTTCAATAATAAAAAGGTTGCATTTGTAATTTATATGAAACCTTTTTGTAAGTCATCTAAAACAATTATAAAAAATCATTAATTTTAGTATAATTAATAATATTTTATATATTAATTTCAAAAATAAAATTATTAAAATGATAATATTTATCATAATTATTTCATTGATTTAAAGGACCGCGGGTCTAATTAACCCTTAATAATAATTATAAAAAAAATCAAATTTATTTAAAAATTTAGATTTGATCTCATTAAATCAGCTCAAGTAAGAGTTATGCAGAAACATCAAAAAAGATAAGTCTGTCAGCACACAAAAACATATAATTGGTTGATTTTAATTTATTGACACTGAAATTTGTTGGAATAAAGTATTTTTTTTCATTATTTAATTTGGATGAATTAGTTGAATATTTATATAGGTGAGAAATATTTGTGTGGGTCACATAGTGTGGTGTCTCATAAGTCCATGATGATCCATGTGAGTTTGAGATATGTGATTATGTAGCTGTCTGCATGTGCATGTGAGTTTGTCAGGACAGATAGGGTGTAATGTAATGTTTAATGTTTTAGATAAATAATGGTGGGTGGAGCCTATAAACTAACTATCCATGTAGCGTTTGTTGAAGATTGAAGATTCATTATGAATCAATAAAGTTGTTTTTATTATGTTAATTTTGGTTAACGTCTAATATAATTTATGTTTTAAAAAAAGTAAAAGTAAATAAATTTTGAGTCAAATATATTAATGTTAGATGAATAATGGTAGGTGGAACCTATAAAGAACTAACCGTGTGTGTTTGCTTATGGAGCATTGAAGATTCATAATGCATAAAGCCGTTATGTTAAGGAGTAAGGGTTTTATTAAAATACTTTCGTAATAATTAATAGAAATCAATCAAGCACTTGGATTCAAGATAGGAAGGAATAGAGTTTAGGTAGAGTAATAAATTTCCCCACACATAGCACAAGCAGAAAAGTCTTCATTCCTTAACCTATTACACGGCTTTAACTACTCATAAAAAAAATAGGACTCGAGGGGGCAGCATTATTGGAGGGTGTGATAAATGCCAAAATGGAACGGTTATTTAAAGAGGAAGAAATTTATTTAAATGGAAATTTGATGTGAATTACCCCCTTCTTTATACTAATAAATGACTTATTTAATTATAAGCAAATTACTATTTTGATCGTGACAAGTGTAATACAATGTCATATTTGGCTGCCCCTCACATGAAACACAAATAATATCTCTCTCAATTGGTCATTTTAGTCTATGAAATCAAGGATATGTCAAAAAAGAATTTTTTTTTTAAGTTGTTGATATGATTATTTCACTATTTTTATGGATTTTTTTTTAAATAAAGACGAAGTTAAAATTTGTTTATATAAAAAAGTGAAAAATTGAATTATAATTTCTGGATGTTTTTTTTAAATGTATATAATATATTATGTCAGTTATTTTGAAAATTGATGAGTAAATTTATTCAGTGTACATGTTTCGAATTTCATCAGTTTTAATTTATATTTTTATCTCATTAAAAGTCACGCCTTCTTGAATATTTTATTTTTAATCTAAAAATACATCATGTTTCACCTCGATTTTGTTTCCAACCGAGGTGAATATGTTTCTCTGATATATATATATATATATATATATATATATATATATATATATATATATATATATATATATATATATATATATATATATATATATATATATATATATATATATATATATATATATATATATATATATATATATATATATATATATAGCATTACCTTGTAGCATTCAGTTTCACTTGTCTAAACAACACAGACAGAACCCTAACGAAGAGCCCTTAACAAAAGAGGCCAAAACAACGAGAGTCATAAACACATATCATCATCAATACGAAGTTATTATGTGTTTAGTGCTCTCATTTCTTCTTCAGAATTCCAAATAATTTTCCTTTACTTCTTTTTGAGAGATCTGACACGTCAAATATCACTATTAATATTGTTGTCATGTTGTTGTTGTCGTTGTTGTCATTTTTGGTGTTGTTGTGGTGGTGGTGGTGGCGGTTTATTGAGATCCGAAACTGTTAGATGAGGGCAACAATCTAGAGTGGGGATTGAATATTATGAATGTAATTCATGGTGTTGAAGCATGTTGTTGTCGAAACACCTAATTGTCGAGGACTTAGCCTCGACATAAATTTTGTCTTAAACCTAATTTTGTAGTGTTGGCAGAATTAGGTATTTTGGGCTTTTTGTTTTTAGGTTTTGCTAAGGGAGCAACCAAGGTAAATATATAAATAGGGAGTAACCCCTATTTTGTAAATACTTTTGAATGCAGTTTTATATTCTGAGAATAATATTCAGTTTGAATAGCAGATAGAAACTCTGTAGAAATTCTTTTCTTCTTTCCCTATTTTGCTTTGAATCCCTAATTTCCTTTCTTCTCAATTCAACTTTCTTTTCTTCTTCTCCATTATTGTTGTGCAACATAATCATCTTGCAATCAAGGTGTGATTAATTCACTCGAGTGAAGAACGAGAAAAGAATTTAATCGGTTGATTGAATCTTGTTAATCAAGATTGATTCGGAATTACTCTAGCGATTGTCCTGAAAAACAAAAGAACCAAGACGACGATGCAAAGTTTGCAAAGCATGAAGAAGAAGAGATGTTGATGATGGTCACAACAAGAGATGAAGAAAGATTCCATGACCAATGGTACTTAGACTCAGAATGCTCATCACACATAACTGATAGGAAGGATTGGTTTGTCAACATAAAACCCTAATGAAGAACATAGTGAAATTTGTAAATGACAATACTCTAGCAGTTGAAGATGTTAGCGATGTTCTGATTATGAGAAAAGATGGCAAGAGGTCAATAATTTCTATTGTATTGTACATATCAGACATGAAGAGTAATTTGCTCAGCATAGGGCAGTTGCTCGACAAGAATTACAAGGTGTCGATCGAAGACAAGATGATGAGAGTTTCCAACTCAAAAGAAAGGTTAATCTTGAAGGCTCATATGTCTCAAAATAGAACCTTCAGGATTGAACTTAGTATGATAGAGCATAAATTCCTTGCAACTGCAGCTAGCAGGGATGAATGGATATGACATTATCAACTAGGCCATCTCAATTTCAAAGACATCAGAGATCTAAAGAGAAGAAATATGGTTTAAGGATTACCAGAAATTGACATTCCAAATGAAGTATGTGAGGAATGTGTGCAGGAAAAGTAACACAAGAACAACTTCAGCAAGGATGCAGTAAGCAAGTCGAAGGCAATTTCAAAATCATATACTCTGATATATGTGATCCTATCCAAGTTGATTTGATTTGAGGTAACAAATATTTTGTCACTTTCATAGATGATTTCACTCGAAAATTTGGACTTACCTGATCAAGAAGAAAAGTGAAGTGATCGAGGTATTTGCCAAGTTTAAATCTATGGTCGAAAGACAAAGTGGTCAAAAGCTCAATATTTTTAGGACTGATGGTAATGGAGAATATGTGTTGAAAGACTTTGACACATTATGTGAGAAAGAAAGGATTGTGTATGAGGTGGTGCCACCCTACACTCCACAGCAGAATGAAACTACAAAAAGGAAGAATAGAACCATCATGAATATAGTGAGAAGTATGTTGAAAGGCAAGCATTTACCTAAAGAATTATGGGGAGAAGTTGTGTTGACTGCAACATACATACTGAACAGATGTCCGATGAAGAATTTAAAAGGAATTACGCCAGAAGAATGTTATTCTGGTGTCAAGCCTAGCTTGAGTCATATGAAGGTATTTAGATCTATATAACATAGATATG